AAAGTGCTTATGAATCATTTACCTGATAAAGAACATGTGTCATGCAAACGTAAGAATCAAATACTCGGATTACAATGTTTAGGTGGGAGTGTCAGTAGAGGCCAAGCAACAATAAAGGACCATGAGAAATGACAGGGAAACAATCCTGAGGGAGGGATAGTAGGACACATGGAATATGAAAACGGAAGTAGGGAAATGTTTAAAGGGATCTGGGGTGGGAGGGGTAGATCGACTAAAACCAAACATATTGAAAAAGATGTCTTCATTTTCTTTCTGTTGCTGTAAGAAAACACCCTGACCAAAAACAATTTAGGAGAAGAGTTTATTTCGTTGTAAATTTTATAGTTCATCCTCGAGTCAAAGCAGGATCTAAAGCACCATCTTTAGAACTTTAGAACCATAGAAACTATGGAGGATAGCTTCTTACTGGCTTGCTCAGTCTTATACTTAGTTAGCTTTCTTATGCAGTTCAGGACCAACTACTCAGAGGATTGTACCTCCTAATGCTGGTTGGCCCTCCTACATCAATTAGCAATCAAGATAATCCCCCATGGATATTCCCACAGGCCATTCTGATCTGGGTAATCCCTGAAATGAGAACCCCTTCTGAGATGATGTAAAGGCTAATCTCGGTTGTCAGCCGGACACACCTATGAGAGATTTCTTGATTGGGTCATTTGAGATAGGAAGACCCACTCTAAACATGGGCCATATCTGCCTGCCCCTGCTCTCACTGGCAAATTCATCCATCCTGTTTCTCATATTAGAACCTACTTTTGGGGGATTCCAACTTAAAGACCAGCAGTTCTCTAGGGCTCCTCTAGGACTCCAGCATCGTACTGGAACTGCTGAGACATCCACTCTCGTGGACTGAAAGACTATGAGATCCTTGGGCTTTCTGTCAAGTGACAGCCATTGTTGGCTTACCCGGACCACAGCCTGTAAGCTACTCTCATAAAAACCCCTTTAGCTTTCATTCCATCAGTTCTATTCCTTTAGAGAACCCCGACTAATACAGTGACTCTGGGTATGTCAAGCTGACTATTAAAGCTAACCAGGACAGCCACTGGGAATATAGTTTATAACCTAACAGAAAGGAGTTTGAATAGCTTTTTCCTGAATGAGTAGGTAATGTGGCTTCCAGAATTCAGAGGTTATTAATCCAAAGTCTCTGAACATCTCAGATGAGTTGTTAGCTTTGGAGCCCCTGCCCCAAGACAATACAAGACATTGTCACTTCTCTTTGCTTCTTCCCAGACATAGGCAGTAAGACCCTATTACTGAAGACAACACACGCTTTGGATACAAGACACAGAAAGCAAAGTGGAACTGAGCTGGAGTCTTCTGCCTTGGGTATGCATAGTCTAGAAGGTGCTAGCAAACTGCTTGGGGAGTAAGTGTCTAATGCAGTGGTGGACCCTGTATCTAAGATACTGACATGCTAAACAAAATATGTACATGTGTAGTATAATGCCATAACTGTTCTAGACATAACAAATTACATCCTAATACTGTAAACCTGTTAAAAACTGGTGGCTAGAGAGGGCATAAACCATAGGAAAGAATTCACTACTGATGTTTGCTAGAGGAACATGCAGTTACACTGCCTTGTGGATTCTTATGTTATACATATGGTCTAGAGCAGCTCTCAGCCTCATTCAGAAAAACCTCATGGCAGTGAGTGATGTTCAAAGCAGAGGGTCATACCTTGAGCAAGTACTGAGAATAATGGACTGCATAGTGCTAGGCCCTAACTAAGGCATCTATCTATACCATCCACCCTGAGGCTCCGGGGACATGACAAAGAGGGAGCGGAAAGATGAGAGACTCGGAGACTGGACAAGAATGCCATATAGCCTTGTCTTCTGAGATCCCATGGCTGTGGCAGTTAAGAACATGCAGCTGTCGTGACCACCTACACAAGACATGGAGGCAGGAGTCGAGCTACCAGGGAGAAAGAGGTCAGCAGTAACCATCAGTACTCAAGGTAGGACAACAGATGAGAAATTGCTGGGGCCCACGGGAGATAAGTGGAGACGAGGGACCCCAGACCCACATGAAACTGGATCAGACCAACTTTCTGCTAGCTTATCTTTTCCTTCTTTTCTTCACAGTTGGTCAATCTCAGCTTTTAAACCTTTCCGTGGCTAGAACCCTTTACCCAGTCCACATGTTTTCCTAAGGTGGAATAGAAAGAAAACTTAGGGAATGTGGAAAGAGAAAGCAGTCCTTTGCCCTGGGTTCTAGTTTGCACTTTTTGCTTGTTGACTGTCAAGAAACAAAGTAACTGATAAAGCCAAAATTGCCTACAGAGAGAGTCTGTTTCTCTAAAGATACCACAAGCAACAGTACTAAAAACAAAATTGTATTTAGGGACATAATCTTGAGTTTTTCTATAATATTCTTCTCTCGTCCTTTACAATTTCATTTGAGAATAACATAAAACAGCTCATATTTTAATTGTTTTAAACTTCTGTCAGTTTTTAACTTGTTTACACTGTATTGTGATCACATTCCCCTTCTCCACATTTCTTTTTAATCCCAGTTCCATTACTGCTGAGTTTTGGAAATTAATGGATTCAGGTAGGCAACCAAGTTGGTGTCTGTATTGACAGAGCCCAGTAGAAAATAAATTCCACGAGTTAAATAGAGGAAACTTAAGAGAATGCTTAAACCACAATAAGTAAATACGTATTGGTAATAGGAAACTCCATGTGAATCCCCATTGCTGAAGGAGAAAATTCAATGAAGAGCAGTTTGGAAGGATAAACTTTCCCCTAAGCCTAGGCTCAAGACTTCACCGGGAAAGCTATTGGTAGGTTCCTGGAATTGTAGAGAAGTTTACTACTCTGTCATCGTCAGAGCTGGATGCAGCTAATAGATGACCTGAAAGCAGCCCTAAAGGTCTCAGGCAGTGGCATCAGGAGAACTTCAGTAGAAACCTGCAGAGAGTTAGCACACAATATACAGCAATGCCATGGTCTAACCCTGCCAGTGCTGGTTTTCACCTTAAGAGGCCATGAAATGCAGACCATCTGGAGTCACGTAAAGCAGTGTCCTAGAGGGCGGCCCGCAGCGCCTCTGCTCCACCAGCTCCTGCTGCATCTCTTCAGTATGGCACAGTGAAAACACCCAACAATGTGATGATTTTAAGAGTTCCTTGTGCTTGAGGAGTTCTCAACAGTGGGCACACTATTCATAAACTGGATTGTTGCTGGAGCTTCTTTCCAGCCTGGTCCTGCAGCCGATTAGCCCCAAATAAACACACAAAGACATATTACTTTATAAACTGTTGGCCGATGGATAGGGCTTCTTACTGGCTAGTTCTCTCTTAATTATTAACCCATAACTGTTAATCTATATATTTTACCATGGGCTTATCTTTCCAGAGAACACCTAGCGTGTCCCATCTTCCCGGTCTCTACATGTTTTCTCTTCGAGGCCTTTCTCTCTTCCTTTCCCCAACCTTTTCTTGGTCTGGTAGCCCCTATGCTTTCTGCCTGTCTGGCTATTGGCCCAACAGTGTTTTATTCATCAATCAATAAGAGAAATCTCTCTCTCTCACACACACACACACACACACACAAGGACACACACACACAAGGACATCCCCATCGCTGGATTACTATGCTGAAGTTGACAGAAGGAAAAAAACCTGTACAGTGATGAAAATATGACTGACATGAATTGTCACAGTTTTAGTTTGAAAGGTGACAGTCTTAAAGGTATTATCTACCCAAACAACAACAAAAAAGTTGTATCTCCTTATAATGCTAAAAAAAAAAAAAAAAAAAAAAAAAAAAAAAATACAGGGCAGTGTGTTACTAACTATAAAGCAGGGAAGTCTGTATTACAGACCTCACATGTTGTAACCGGGAAGCAAAGAGGGAACAAGGAAAGACTCCATTATCTCCCCACAAACACCAATAAAGGATGCTACGCCAGAAGAGACAGAGTGAAAAGTTCCCTCAGTAGCCATCTACTTCCCAGGGATCACTTAAGGCATAGAAACATTGGCATTTCAATTACCTCTAAAACAGACCGTATTGTCAATAATTAGAAGTGCTGTGGTAAACAGGATATTACAGATTTTTAAAATAAGACAGATTTAAAACACTTTAATGGAAAATTGTCAAGTTGTTCTAATTTATTTTCAAGTCCTGGGCTTCCATAGCTAAACTGAATGTAATCCAACACTGACATTTCAGGGAGTGATAACTCTCCACAAGCCACTTGTAACTCATTTCCAGATTAAAGACAAACCCATGTTAGGGGTTTTAAATAGTTTCAAAGAAAATGAAACTAGATGGAAAACTAGATAATTGCTGCAGCTTGTTTTCCTTCCTTCCTATCTTATACACAGCTGGAGTTCTAGGTCACCCCGGAAAGTGCTTATTATACTGCAAGGTTAAATATTTCTTCCCTGATAACAAAAGGCTAAAAAGCTGCTCTTGTTTTTAAGGCCCTTGTCCCCCAGAAAGGACAGAGATCTAATGCTCCTTCAGTAAAATCCTCCAGGCACAAATGCCCAGATTAGAGAACTGGTATGTTTACTCTGTCTTTCAAGGTGTTTGCTTTTGCTGATGCTCTTGAAGACATAACCTCTCTTTCCATTTCCCGCCTCCTGGCAGCTGCCCAGACCTCCAGCTTGCCTGCCCTACTGTTTTCTCTCTCAGACACACACACACAAAAATCCTTGAGTTTCTTTCTAAGTCCATGAATTACATTATTGCAAAAGGGACTTTGTGTCCTACTATCACTATGACCATATGAACCCATTATGTCAACTTACTTCTACTGGGCTTCACCTGCTAATATGAGTACTACTTCTTGATCGTGCTATGGGCTGGGAACCAGACCTTCAATACTTGGGGTGTTGGGGTACATTCCAGATGCAAATTATAACAGTGTTTGAGGGAAATATCTCAAGGAGAGTAGATTTTTCAACAAAAGAGGTATATACTGTGACTTCTCCTTTTTAAAAATATAGTTACTCCAAGTAAAACCTCAGGAGACCTCCTAATTTTATTTTAAAGAGAATACACTCTTCAGTCATCAGTGCATATTTACAATAGAGACTATGTCCTAAAATTATCATTGTGGCATTTAGGATAAACATTTTTTTTTTTAAGAGCCACAAACTGGAAGCCCTGGGATTGTCATTATATCCACATCCATCAGGTGTGGATCTAAGATATCAAACTGTGCCAATATTTGCAAACATTTGAGCTTACTTTTTAAAATCTGTATGTCACCCCCAGAAATCTGTATTTCTAGTTTTGATGAAAACTGCAGAGTTGAGCCATGTTGGCTTGTCAACAAATCCTGAAGCATCTGTTTGGGTACAGCCTGTGCTTTCCAGTTCAATGCAAATCCCATAAAATACTGCCCACAGCTCATTCTTGGTAGGTATGTGCATCTGCAATCATGTTTGTTCCAAGCCACCTGGGCTTATAAACTTTCAGCATAATAAAAACCGAATCATTTTCTTTTAAATACACGTTGAAAGGGTCTTTGTTTGCTCTTCACTTCTTCCTGAGCTGACCGGGACTGAAGTCCTAGAAGCCGAGGGTCTGAGTCTCAGGAAAGGCAGGTGTAAGGAGGGCTACAAGATGTCTTGATAGGAGCTGTGAGGAAAGAGAGGCCATTAGGAAAGAAATGGAGGGGAATATAGGCAGGATGTTGAGGACATGGACACATGGAAGGGAAGACTTACCAGCGCTTCCTGTAGAGGAACACAAAACAGGGCACAAAAACTACTAGTGCTGCAAGTACTCCTAGGATAAGACCCAAAGTTGAATATCTGCCACCTGCTTTGAAAGAATACAAGGTATCTCTTAACAGTTCCCTATTCCAAGCTCATGTGAGGAAGCAGTGCCTTCATTTCTTCCTTCATTTAAACTATATCCTTCTTTTCCTCATGAGTTTAGACTGAACCTCTTTTGTCAGGATCTGGCTGCATGCTATCCAGACAGATGTGGGTCTGTCTACCCCCAGCTCTTCATCTTTCTGGGTGGCTCTGGGTGGTTCTCTGTCTTTGCACTGACATCTTCATCTGTGAAGTCAGACTAGCAGTACTGGCTTCTAAGCTAAGCGGTGAAATGAAAGGACACGTGGGCAGCAGCGGAGTGGCCGGTGCTCACACGGGAGGCACTCAATATACTACAGCTATGCCTTGGACCCCGGGTCCTCTATGCTGGGGAGTGGATCTTCCTGCACTTTGCCATTTGCCCCTGGACCTTTTGAATTTCTGGGTCTCCTTTCTTCCTCAGTTTTGGTGTGTGTGTGTGGGGGGGGATTTCTTTCTATATCTAAAATTCTCTCCTCCTATCTTTCCTATAATAGTTAGGGGTTTTGTCTCTGAAACTAGGTTTGTTCACCTCACACTCCATGTTTGAATGGTACCTCTACTGGTTCTCAACCCAGGCTACAGCTTTTTCCTTACCCCAATAGAGGATGATGTCCTTCCCTTCTAGACTGCTGTGTTTCACCCAGCAGGCAAGGCCAGCCTCATTTCCAGTCTCCACAACCAGGGTTGCTTGGAGATACCATGTCCCATCAGCGTTGGGTAGGATATCACCTCTCTGAGTACTATTCTGCTCCTGCTCATCCTGCATCCACATCACCCACACAGGCTTTGGGTAGAAGCCGTAGACATGACACACCAACTGCGAATGGCCATGACTAGGGCTGACGCCCCTGGACAACCAGGCCACAGGCTTCTCTGTGTCCAGCAAGAGAATAAAAAATAAATCTTAAAACAGGAATATTCACATTAGAGGCTCCAGGCCTATCAAGTTCATGCTTCCCACAGGTCCACTGCTGGAGATGATGTTGCCTATTAGTTTTAATCCATTTGTATCACTGTGACTAGGAACCATCCCTGATACTTCTACCCATTCCCTGATGCAAGTGTCCTGTGAATGGCCCTCTCTGTACTCTAGAACACCCTGGGTTCAGCTGATAGAGCATGTCTCAAATACAGCCTGGCTCAGTTCTGACCCCCGGTGTTTATTTAACTCAATTCATAGAATCTAAGAATGATGCTCAGTGAGAAGAGTAAACCCCACATGCCTTCTTTGCATCTGCCAGGCAGACACAAAGCTTGCAGTGATGAGAGAACACGAAAGTAACCTATGTGAGAACCAGGGTGAGGAGAGCAGGCTGACCTTGCTTCTCCAGTTCTGCTTTCCCTGCTTCTAACAGGCCAAGGACAAGCTGGGGGCAGGTGTGGTTCAGAAGCTGCTGGATAGTTTCCCTGGTCCCTTGATCATTGTTGAGCACTTTAATGGCCACCTCTGTCCAAGGCGGCGCGTCTGGGGCCTTCTGAAAGGATGTTCCCTGAAAACTCAGGATATGTTTTCCTTGGAATGCTACATTGAAAAAGTTTTCCGAAGCGTTCCCAGAGTGCACTTCACACCCAGCAGACAACTGCATCTCAATGGGATCTGTAAAGGGGAATGGGTGGAGATCAAAATGATTAAGAAGTTTGGAAGAAAGGGGAAGAAATTGGTGTGAAGACAATGGTAAGGTCCCAGTTGAGGGAAACGATCGTAGGTGTCCTGGAGCAGAAACAGGGACTATTTTCAGAAAAGACAAGGATCTCTCTAGACAGAAGTGAAAATCATAAGGGTAGTAAAAGCAGAGAATCTCATCAGGTAGACCCACAGCTATCCAGTTGGGGTTTGGGGCCTCTCTCACCCACTGGGTACCTGTCCAGGGTTCCATTCCTCTACTCACAGTGTATGATAGGCAACATTTTGACTAATTCCTGTACATCCCTGGTAAAGCTGGTTCGATAAACTTGAAATACAAGCTGCAAGTTCTCCCACTGTTGGTCGCTGAGTTTGCCCTTGGACCACGGCTTCAGGAAGCTAATGGTAGAGGCATTACTCCAACGGTGTGTTTGCACATCCCCTAGCCAGGCCAAGCCATCTGTGCGTGAGCAGCTACTGTTTGGGAAGGAAGAGATCTGCAGGCAGCGGAACGGGAAATTCTTTAGCTGGTCTGGAAACAGTGAAAACCAAATGAACACAGCGAGTGACCAAGTCGGCAGACAGACTATTAATAAAAAAGAGCAGCCTTAGCTGGGCTTGCGAAAGGGAGACGCAGGGTAGAGTTCAGAACGGTCTTAGGCTCTGAGCTGGGTCCACACATGGTTCCGCCCACTGGTGTGCTCCAAGCCCGCCAGAGTCCCACCTCCACCCGCCCACAATCGCAGCGCTTACTAGTTAGGCACTCTCTTCCCTCATCTCCATCCCCTTCTGTACATACTTTTACTCACCTTCCGATTGTCCCCAGACCCTTGGGAACACCCAAAGCAACAGGCACTGTAGGTACCGCATAGCGCGATAGCTCTAAGGAGTCGCTACACAGCCGGAGGCTCGGACTTTTGCCCTTCACTGCCGAAGTATCAAGGCTCCCGGACTTTTGGCGCAGTGCCCGCCAAATCCGGAAGCACCAGCACTGGGAAATTAAATCACTTTTTTTAGAAAGTCACCCCCCCTCGTGGTTGAGTGTTGGAGTGCAGCTTTAATCAGTATTGTCACCCAACTAACTTTTCTCAACGGTCTTTCCCTTACACTAAAGAAAGAGGTTGAGACCATTTTTGTTTTTGTCATCTCAATGTTAAAAGCAAGACATAACCTCGTATTTGTGTTACAATTCCAATTGTGTTATTAAAAATGCAAGGGAAAAAAGGAGGAAAATTTCGACCTAGCTAGCAGCGGTGTCTGCAGGCGCTGCTTTGTTTTTCAATTGTGACTCCTCTGAGAGGCTAAGACTGGGCAGGCTACATTCCTTCACGGGATCCATATTTCCACAGTCTGATGTATCAGCGGTCCCCAGACTCGTTCCCCTTGACCGGGTATCTGGTCTCCCATTGCCTTGTCTGTCTTTGCTGGCTCCATTTCGGGAGAAACAGGTGTGTTTTATTACATTGCACTGTATTATGATCTGTGCAAACTGAAGACTTGCGGCAATCTGATGTGACAAGATGTGTCCACTCAAAGGGCTATATAGCACAGGGGGGAAGTGTGCTGTATACCTGCATGCAGGGATCTTTCCAGTGCCCTTCCCTTGCAAGCCTTGCCTACTGGCTTCTTCCTCTTCCTGGCCACCCATTCTCAAATGACCTCATGGTTTTGAGAACACTGAGGATTACAAAGGGTGCCTGTGATTGGTCATTTCCTGTTTATCACACTGAAAGCAAGCAGTTGACAAAACAGGAGGAGATAGAGAACAGCAAGGCAGAACCAATGCACATATGACCTCACAGAGCCTGAGACACATCAGATTTTCACTCCAATTTCTGGCCTCTACTCTGATCTCTCCAGACTTACTCTTAATTCTGTAGCGCTTAGTCTCCAGGAGCCCTGCACTCAGCCCCATTTCCGTTCCCTGGAGAACCCAGGATCCTCACTGCCCTTTACTGTGGACTTCTCAGCCTTCTCTTCTAGCCCATCTCCATTCTTTATGTGACTGGCTGACACAAAGAAACATTATCTACCAGGGATCCACTTGCTTAGGATATGGAGTAGGCAACAGCAACCAAAGAAGAGAGTCACACCAAAAAGAGAAAAGATCAAATACTTAAGCAAGGAAAACTTCAAACATCATGACTCCACATGCCTAGAGGCCAGGACAAAAACCACAAACATGAACAGCCAAGAAAATATGCCTCTTCCAGAAACCAGCAACAGGCCCAGAAAAAGCAGTTTATCCAAAGCACAAGATAAAGACTTCAAAATAGTTATTATGAATAAGTTCAAGGACCTTAAAGAGAAAATAAATAAATGCCTTAATAAAGACTGAAAACAAAATAATGAAAACAATATCAGAATGAAAATAGAATTTAATAAAGACATCTTATTTCCCATGCAATATTCTGGTCTCCGAATGGAGGATAGGTTTGAATCCCACTTCTGACACCAGAATATTTCATGGGAAATAAGATTCTGGGATACAATATAGGCTGATTGATGTTTATTCAGGTGAAAAAATCATTTCCATCAGAAACAGATGACCACCGCCGGTTCCCACTCCAAGGATGCCCCCGATGCTCTCTGCAACCCAACCAGGAAGTAAGAGAGCAAGCTAGGGTCCAGGATCCCAGACCTAGATCCTACAAGTTACATCCGCACCTGTGCCCACCCACCAATGGGTGTGGTCAGTGCAACAGGTACGGGCGGGGTGGATATCTCAGTACAACATGTGTTTGTTTATGTTCTTTGCTACTCATAGTAGTCAGAAAGTAGAAATAGCCTAGATGTCCATCAACAGAAGAATGAATAATGAAAATGAGGTACATTTACACAAAGGATTATTTTGCTCATAAAAAACAAAACCATGAAAATTTTGGATGGAGCTAGAAGAAAAATCATCCAGAGTGAGGTAACTCAGATCCAAAATGACAAATATGGTATGTATTCATGTGGATGTTACCTTGTAAGTGGTTGATAGGCATGCTACAATCCATAAACCACAGAGGTTAGATACAGAGAAAGGGACTAGGAGGAAGGGAGGATCTCACAAGGAAGGGGGAAAAGAATATACAGTTATGGAGAGACAGGGGGAAGACTGGAATAGGAGGATTAAAAGGGGAGGAGGAGAGAAGTAGTATGTAAAGAGGGAATACAAGAGGAACAACGAACGCCAAGGGTTATTTGGGATGGGGGTCATGTAGAAACCTGCTACTATAAAAGCTTCTTAACATATATGCATATATGAATGAAATCTAAATGGAGTCACCAACTAACAGAGGAGACAATGCCCCAATTAGCTATCTTTCACCACCAAGTGAAACATCATCCTTTGCCAGGAATGGATTACATCTACTTGAGTCCTTGGCCAAAGGGGTCTGTGGTGGTTTGAAAGAAAATGACCCCCAAAGGGAGGAGCACTATTAGAAGGTACAGCCTTGTGTAGATGTGGTCTTGTGGGAGGAAGTGTGTCACTGTGATGGTCTCATATATGCTCAGGATGCTACCCAGTGTCTCAACCACTTCTTGTTGCCACAAGATGTAGGACTCTCAACCACCCCAGCACCACATTTGTCCATGTGCTGACATGTCCCACCATGATGTCAATGGACTGAACCCCTGAACTGTAAGTGAGCCACCCCAGTGGAATGTTTTCCATTATTAGAGACGTCATTGTCGTGATGTTGCTTCACAGCAATAGAAACCCTAACTAAGACATGGTCCAATAGGAACCCTCAAACAACTCAAGGTTACTTACTGCCAAGGATATTGGTTATGCTCTACAGACTGATGGTAATACCCTGTTGCTGAAAACAATATTTACATACCCCAATTGGAAACAGAAGTAGAACTTGTGCCTTCCTAGAGCAGTCACCCCTACTGACCAGTGTTAATGGTACTGGAAGGTACTCTGGGTGTTACAGAGGAGAAAAGTAACCCCCAACCCAGATACAAAGCCTGAAATACACAATGCTGACCTGTCTGCATGATATCTTAGGGCAGTAGTGGCACAAAAGTTGTGAAAGTCACCAAAAATATCTGCTTGGATTTAAAGCCCACTTTACTATATAGAATCCATGACTAACATTCCTTGGGTGGTGGCCTGAGATTAGACAGGCCACAAACCTAGGGGAAAATGAAATACTATAGTTCTGCTAAAGGAACATAGTAATAAGATGACTCCCAATTGTATCCTGCTATACGCATAGATCAGTGCTGCACTCAGCCACCATCAGAAAAGCTTACTATTCAGTGGGTGGGAACTAACACAGAGAACCACACCCGACAATGTGCAGAGAGTAAGAGACTTTGGAACACTCAGTCCTAAATGGGATGTCTTCACCGAAATGCTCCGCTCAGGGCTCAATGAGATATGTGGAAGAGGAGAGATTGTGAGAGGAGATGAATGTATGCCGCCAAGGAAACAGCATCTTCTGGACTCAACAGGACTGACACAAATCAACTCACAGAAACGGTGGCAGCATGCACAGGGCCTGCACAGATTCAAGCCAGATGGAGCCCAGTGCTGAGAGAAGAAAATGGACACATAGTCCCATCCATAACCAGAAGCTATCTGCAATTGATGCCCACTTGCAAAAGAAATATGGGCTTCCCCTGCCCCCCCCCCCTCCGCTTTGGTCAATGGAGTCTCACTTAAAGGATATGGCCCATATCCAGGAATAGATAGCCAACAGAAAATAAACTCAGTGATATTTTTGTAGACTTTTGTCTCACATTTCTTTGTCTGGACTTTTTTTTTTTTTTTTTTTTGGTCTTACTGGCCTTTTGTTTGTATAGTATAGTTTCTAATTTTGTGTTTTTTTTTAATTGGTATTGTGTGTGTGTGTGTACCTGTGTATGTATGTTTCTTATTCCTTACCTTTTGTTGTTGTTTTTCAAATTCCAGTTTATTTGCTTTTTGTTTTCCAAAGAAGTACAGGAAGAAAGTGTGGAATTGGGTGGAAGGGAAGTTGGGGAGGATCTGCAGAATGTTGGGAGAGGAAAAACTGAAATCAGAATATATTGTATTAAATTTCATTTTTAAAAATGATAAAAAGAAATAAATGATTAAAAAAGACATGGATAGAAGAACCTTAGATGTTGAAGTGAAGGTAGAAGAAATGAATAGCTCAGCCAAAGAAAGCATTAAATCTAAAATTCCAGGCACAAAACATCCAGGAAATCTGAGACACTATGAAAAGATCCAAACCTACAAATAATAAGTATGGAGACAGAGAAGAAACTTAAATCAAAGGCACAAAAATTTATTATATTTTTATTTAATACATTTTAAATTAAAATATATTTTAACAGAAAATATTTTTAACAAAATCACAGAAGAAAAATTTCCAATCTAAAGAAAGAATTGCATCTCAAGGTACAAAAACAAATCACATAGAGCACCAAATAGGACCAGAAAAGAAATTATACTCAACATATAGTAAGTAAAATAATAAATAATATAGAACATAAAGGACACCATAACCTACACAGTGAAGGTCAAATATAAAAGGTAGGTGCATTAGAATAACACCTGACTTCTCAATGAAGACTCACATCCAGAAGGGCCTGGGTAGAGATTCTAAAAACTCTTAGAGACTATAGGTGCCAGCTGAGACTATTAGATCCAGTAAAGCTATCAATCACAATTGATAGGGAAAGAAAGACATTCCACAGTAAAACCAAATTTAAGCAGTTTCTGTCTGCAAATCCAGCTCTACAAAAGGGACTACAAGGATGATGTCAATTTGAAAAGGTTAACTAACCATTCACAACACAGCAGCAAAGTAAAAGAAGTAAATAGATACTGCTAATTAAGGAATACCAATATTATCTGTCTTGGCTCCCCAATAAAAAGATGCAGAATAATGGACTGGATTTAAAAAAGAAAAACATGATCCATTTTTCTTCTGC